GGCATCTATCTGATTATTTAAAAAAATAAAACATGTAAGACATTTAAAAATATGATCATATTATTTTGCATACATTTTAATGTTTTTTCTATGTATTTTGAAATAAATAATGAGTATGTGACATTGCATATATATTACCTGAGTGTGCCTGTGTATGTAGATATGCATATGCAAATCTTGGCAAAGTATGAATAAAATTCGAATCGCATTAAGGCCATTGCCATATATTATGTATGCCTATTCATCCATTCATTCCATGTTTTGACTTTGTACCCAATTCTTTTTGTAAAACATCTTTAAAATTCCAGATGTTATGTGGCAGCTTAGGGAAGATTTGATGCCAGAAAGGATTTTTATTATACATGAAATATGGCATATTAAAAATAAAATGCAAACTGGCAGATAAGTGTAATCCCTTTTTGGTTATTGGACATGCCTAATAATAATAGCAAAAATATGGAGAAGGCTTCCTTGTCTTTTAGACTTTTAATCCACCATGCTGAATGGATTTTTATAGGGCATATACTTGTTCATGACCTCTAGTGCTAAGAAATTCTGTCATGTTTGAAAACTAGTCCCTCGTGGAGCCTGTATCCCTGTTAATAGCTGAAAGGTCAATGGAGCTGCTAAACAGTTTGCATTACTGTCAGGGTGGCCATGAAAACACCACCTGCTGCAAGAGGACTTGGCAGCTGGGTCAACAGGCACTGTGGGAATTTATCAACTCAGGGGGGCCACTTGCATAAAACTTTGACTGATGAATTGGGACTAGACTGTCTTATTGGGCTAAAGCTGCTCTATTATGTATGACTCTCTATGGGTTGACAGAGCTGCCTGAGACACATGTGCAGGATAAACAGAACTGATTTCTCCTTATGAAGTGATTGGGGGGAAAAGCACTCGAGCATCCAGCGTAACAAGGAGCAGGATGAAGATATTACAAAAAAGCAAACAAAGGGCAGTAAGTCCCACCTTGGGAGGATCCTGGAGAGGGAAGAATGGGAAGGAAGCATGAGAGGCAGTTTTGGATGCTGGTCACAGGAATCTGGAGATGCAACATTTCTGCATAGTGACCTTTACACCGGGAATTTGCATTGTTAATGTATAGACATCTTAAGGAAATGCTCTCTGTGAGTTGGTTTGGTAAAAGATAAACAATATACTAAAATACAGCTAAACTGGGTACACAGTAAGTAAATCAACATGATTATTCTTAATAAATGTTATTCTTAATAACATTGTTTTACACATTCCTGGAGAAATAAACCCTGGAAATATTTTTTTTTAAAGATAAAAAATCATTTGATCTAAGTTCATCTAAAATTAACTTAAAGAATCTTCTATCCTTATTAAAAAATTTGTGTTCTATCTATATAACTTGGAAGTTACACAGCTCTTCCAGTAATCTTTAATTTCTACCACCCAGGAGCATTTGATTAATTCTGAACAGATTCCGTACAGAAAGCACTGTGGGCACAACTCAAATATTTGAAAATTAGGTCTTAAAAGCTTTTTAAAGTTCCAGGGATATCTGTATCCCAATTTTGGAACTAAGGGAACCTCAAAAGTTGAGATTACCTAAAAATACTTCTAGAAAGCATGGAATGAGCGCCAATGATACTAAAGAATTCAACAATTTTAAGGATTTTTTCCTTTCTTTTTTTTTTTTTTGTACTGGGAATCGAACTCGAGTCTTCGCACTTGTGAGATACCACTGAGCTAAATCCCCAGCCCTTTAAGGATGTTATTTCTCTCCTTCCTATGTCCTATGTAGAAATGAGGCAAGGAAAGACTGATCATCTGTACTTTTTTTGGTAGGTAAAGAGGCACAGTATGGGGAATAACTTAGGTAACGTCCTATACTGAAGGAGATTCAGAGAGCAGACCAGTTGACCCTCTGTCTTGCCTGTACAGCCTTGCTCTTAACTGACTAGCTTCAGATGGCACTATTAAGAGAAATGGGAATTGTTGCCCAGTCTTGCGCTCAGTATATCTAGGTCTGTTTTCTGGAACTCTTGGCAGATGGAGGCACCCAGGCTAGGACGAGCTGAACCTGGTACTGGGGACCCTGTGATTTCGTTGAACCAGCTGCATGGCTGGTATTGCCTTGTTTCTAACTCCACTCTGCTATGAGATGCCACTGTTTTACCCCTGAAGGTATTTCTGATCTGTGTTTGATGTTCTAACGCATTCCTTTCCTGCTTTTTTCAGAAGTTTTTTTTCCCCCCTTAAATAACTTCTGAGTTCTAGGTAAATTTGAGGGAAACCTGGTTGTATTCTTGTATTTGTGAAAAAACAGATCCTATGCTGAGAATAAAATTTCTATAACATGTAATTTAGAAATCAATATAATTTTATAACTTGGTATTTTCTCTTTCAGGACTATGAATCGATTGATGTTTGTAAGTTATTATTCTAAAACTATTCTAGCAAATCTAGGAGCTTCTCTGCAAGAATAAAATTAACTTGAGAATTTAACTACAGTTAGATTTTTGACATTACAAGATATATATAT